TTCTGCTGTGGTCAGAGCATAACTGTAATATTTCATTTTTTAAAAATTTACTGAACGGGCCGGCCCGGTGGCGCACTGGATAGTGCGCCGCTTGGGAAGCGCGGCGGCGCTCCCGCCCGAGGGTTCGGATCCCACATACAGACCGGTTCCCGCTCACTGGCTGAGCGAGGCGCGGGAGCAACACCGAGGGTTGCAATCCCGTTGCCGGTCCCCGGTCCGGTACGGGGGCAACACTGAGGGTTGCGATCCGTTGCCAGACACGGAAAAAGACAAAAGACAAAAAAAAAAAAAAATTTACTGAAACATGTTTTATGACCCCAACATATGTTATATCTTGAAATCGTTCCATGCACACCTAAAAAGTGATGTATATTCTGCAGTTGTAGGGTGTAGTGTTCTATAAATGTTAATTGGGTCAAGTTGATCAATAGAGTAACTTCGGTTTTTCTATAGTTTTATTGAATTATTATTGACTACTCGTAGCAATTCTTTTGTTTGTTTGTTTGTTTGTTTGTTTTCATGTCTGGCTGGTATTGGTATCCAAACCCATGACCTTGGTATTATAAGGCCTCACTCTAACCAACTGAGCAAATATTTGTATCAATTCTTGAGCAAGAGATGTTAAAGTTTCTAATCTCCAGTTATGATTGTGAATTGGTCTATTTCTCACTTTAGTTTCACCAAATTTTGCTTTATGAATTTTGAAGCATTCTAATCACATCTGCACACATTTAGATTGTTCTGTCTTGATGAATTGACCCTTTCAACATTTTTGAAATGTCTCTCTTTATATTTGGTAACACTTTTGCTTTAGTGTCATCTTCTCCTTTGTCTGATAATATAGCCATAACAGCTATAGACAAGTGCTTTTTAAAAAATTTCCTCCCCTTTTCTTAAACACATTGTTGCCTACCATAAACATTGTGCTGTATCTTGTTCTTTTTTTTTTTAACTAAATATATCATGAAGAACACCTCACAGCGGTACATAGAGCTCTTTCTCACTCTTTTCATACTTTTCTCTCTTATAGCTCTCTTTTGTGTACAAATGTGCACCACTGTTTATTCAACCATTTCCTTATTGATGACCATTTGGGTTGTTTTCAGTCTTTTCCTATTACAAATAATGCTGCAATAAATAGTCTATGCATACATCATTTTGAACTTTGCCAGCTTCTCCTTGGGATGGATTCCTAAAAGTGGCATGGCAAGGTGAAAGGGTAAATGCACATGTAAATTTGATAAATATCTTAAATTCTCTCTATAATGATGCACCATTTTTAATTTCTACCAGCAATTCTACAACTGCAGCAATAAGATATGCTGTTAAACTTTTTCCAATCTGTTAAGGGAGAAATTGTACCTCTGTGTAGTTTTGAATTGCATTGCTCTTATTTTAAATAAGGTTGAGCATCTTTTCATATCTATAAGGGTAATCTGTATTCCTGTTTCAGTGAATTAACTGTTCATATATTTTGTTCATTTTTTCTGTTGGGTGAAATTGTAAATGGAATTATCTTCTTAATTTCCTTTGACAATGTACAGAAATACAACCTTTTAATTGTTTATTGCTGGTGTACAGAAACACAACTGATTTTTGTGTTTGATCTTGTACCCCGTAACTTTGTTGAGTTTTTTTTTCCCCAATTTGGATGGCTCTTATTATTAATAATATTTATTTCTTTACTTATTTATTTATTTAATTTTTCTTTGCCTAATTTCTCCAGCTAGAACTTCCAGTACATTATTGTACAGCAATGGTGAAAGTGTCTTTCCTTGCCTTGTTGCTGATCTTAGGGGGAAAGCTTTTAGTCTTTCAGCATTGAGCTGAAGGTTTTCTAAACGTCCTTCATAATGAGGAAGTACCCTTCTATTGTTAGTTTTCTGAAATTTTTTTTTTTTAATCATGAAATGGTATTGGATTTTGTCAATGTCTTTTCTGCATCAAATTGAGATGATCGTGTGGTCTTTTTCCTTCATTTGCTAATGTGGCATATTACATTTATTGATTTTCTTATATTGAACCATCCTTACATTTCAGAAATAAATCTCATTGGGTCATCATATATAATCATTTTAATATGTTCATTTTGGATTCAGCTTTCTACTATTTTGATGAGTATTTTTCATCTATATCCCTAAGGGACACTGAGTTGCTTTCTACTATTTTGATGAGTATTTTTCATCTATATCCCTAAGGGACACTGAGTTGCATTTTTCTTGTGGTGTTTTTGTCTTGCCTTTGTATCTGAGTTACACTGACAGCACAGCATGTGTTAGAAAGTGTCTCCTCCACTTTTGTTTTCTGGAAGAGTTCGAGAAGTATTAGTGTTACTCTTTCCTTAAATGTTCAACAGAATTCACCCTGGAAGCCATTTGCTCCTAAACTTTACTTTGTTAGGAAGTTTTTGATTACTGATTTAATTTCATTACTTGTTAAGAGTTCTGCTCAAATTTCTATTTGTTCTTGAGTCAGTTTTAGTAATTTGTATTTTCTAGAAATTTTCTCATTTCATCTGGGTTATATAATTCATTGACATACAATTGTGTATAATATTCTCTCTTTATTTCTGTGAGGCCAGCAGTGATGCCTCCATTTGCATGTCTAAATTTAGTTATTTGTGCAGTATCTCGCTTTTTCTTCGTCTAGATGAAGATTTATTGATTTTGTCAATCTTTTAAGAAAACTTATTACTGACTTCATTGATTCTCTCTACTGTTTTTCTATCCTCTATTTCATTTATCTCTGCTCTAATTGTTATTGGGGTTTTTTTTCCTTCTTCTAGCTTTGGGTTTAGTTTGCTCTTTTGTTTATGTTCCTTAAGGTGTAAGGTTAGGTTATTAACTTGAGATCTTGCTTCTCCACATACTCATACCCACAATATCAATATCTTGCATAGCAGTAGAGTATATTTGTTACAATCAATGAACCAACATTACCACATCATTATCAACCCAAGCCTATAGTTTACATTAGAGTTCATGTTTTGTGTTGTATGGTCTATGGATTTTGAAAAATGTATAAGGAAATTGTATTAGTCCATTTCTGTTGCTTATAACAGAACATCTGCAACTGTGTAATTTATAAAGAAATGAAATTTATTTCTTAAAGTTTGGGAGGCTGAGAAGTTCAAAGTCCAGGGAACCTATCTAGTGAGGTCCTTCTTCCTGTGAGGTGTCTCTCTACAGCAACTCAGGGTATCACATGGTGAGAATGGCCTGAGCAAGACCCCAAACAGCCAAAGCAATCTTGAGCAAAAAAAATAAAGACTGAAGCACTACACTACCTGGCTTCAAATTATACTCCAAAGCAAAGCTATACTAACCAAAAGAGCATTGTACTGGCATAAAAACAGACATGTGGACCAATGGCACAGAATGGAGAACCCAGAAATCAATCCAGGTACTTACAGCCAACTGATCCTTGACAAAGTCACCAAAAACATACACTGGGGAAAGAACAGCCTCTTCAATAAATGATGATGGAAAAACTGGATATCCATATATAGGAAAATGAAATTAGACATATCTCTCACCATATACTAAAATCAACTCAAAATATAAGATCTAAAAGTATAAAACTCATAGAAGAAAACACATGGAAATCACTCAGGATGTAGGACTGGGCAAAGACTTTATGAATAAGATCCCAGAAGCACAGGCAACAACAACAAAAATAAACAAATGGGATTATATCAAACTAAAAAGCCTTTGCATAGCAAAGAAAACAATCAACTGAGTGAAAAAAACAACCTACAGAATAGGAGAAAATATTTGCAAACTGTGTATCTGACAAGGGATTAATATCCAGAATATACAAGGAACTTAAATAACTTAACTGTAAAAAAATCAAATAACCCAATTTAAAAATGGGCAAAGAAGCCAAATAGACATTTTTCAAAGGAAGACATACAAATGGCCAACAGGTATATGAAAAAATGTTCAACATCACTAAGCATCAGGGAAATGAAAATCAAAACCACATTGAGATATCATCTCACCCCAGTCAGACTGGCTATTACTAAAAAGACAGAAAATAATGAAAGCTGGTGAGGATGCAAAGAAAGGCGAATCCTTCTACACTTTCGGTGGGACTGTAAATTAGTACAGCCTTTATGAAAAACATTATGGAGGTTTCTCAAACAACTACGGATAGAACTACCATATGATCCAGCAATCCCTCTACTGGATATATACCCAAAGGAAGGGAAATATCATGTCGAAGGGATGTTTATGGCAGCTCTATTTACAATAGCCAAGATAAACTTACCTAAATGTCCATCAACAGGCGACTAGAGAAGGAAAATTTCAGATACACACACACACACACACACACACACAATGGAATACTATTCAGCCATACAAAAAAAAAAATGAAATTCTGCCATTTGCAGCAATATGCATGAACTTGAAGTAAATTATGTTAAGTAAGCCAGGCACAGAAAGAGAAATACCACATGTTCTTACTCATAAGTGGGAACTAAAAAATAAATAAAGACAAGAAGGAAGGAAGGAAGAAAGAAATAAAAAACAAAAAATAATAATATGCTGAACTTTCAGAAGGAGAGAACGGAACAGTGATTATTAGAAAGGAGTAAGGGGGAGGGGGAGTGGGGTTGGGGAGAAATTGTTCAATGGACACAAAGGAGTACATTTTTTTTTTTTTTTTAAAGATGACCGGTAAGGGGATCTTAACCCTTGACTTGGTGTTGTCAGCACCACGCTCACCCAGTGAGCGAACCGGCCATCCCTATGTGGGTTCCGAACCCTTGGCCTTGGTGTTATCAGCACCGCACTCTCCCGAGTGAGCCACAGGGCCGGCCCCTAAGGAGTACATTTTGTAATGATGAGTATGCCAACTATTCTGATTGATCATCACATACTGTACACAAATACTGACAGTCAACTCTGCACCCCACAAATAAGTATAATCAATTATGTTTCTATAAAAAATTTAAACAAAACAAAAAATAATTAATAATACAGGAGAACATAGCATACCTTAAGATTAAGTGCATTTCTTCCATTTATTTGACAGTTTACTATGGCCATGTTGGCCATGGCTATTACTGTTTCATATCGTGTTGCCCTAATAGTCTTAAAACCTTCACCACGTAAAACACTTAGCAGTGACTCTTTTCTTCTAGTTATAACAAGACCTAAGTAACGAAGACAAAACATGAAACTTCAATGTGTTATCATTTAGAGTGGGAATTAAAAGGTATATGTGTTATTATAAGATTGACCTGCCATTAGGGCTCAGCTGTACACATCCTCTGGCAGGGATCTCCCATAACCTTCATCCACCCAATCTCAGTTGATTCTGTTTGCCAAACTGGATGTTGTTTTGGTTTGGTTTTTAATATCAGATAATTCAGATTTTATCAATTTCAGTCTTTTTGTACAATATGTGAAATGTTTCTCAAAATTTTACTATGTATTGCATAAACAACTTCTTGGATCACAAAATTAATACAAGACAACACATACGCATAACTCAGATACATATCACCTCCCAAGGGGCAGCCTCACTTTTCCTCTAATGTCTTCTGAATGTATGATTCAAATGTCCTATGTAATTTAGCTCTTCCCTCAGGTTGTCAATTCCACCCCTCCACCCCCCAAAAAACAAACAACTCAGGATTTAGCCAAACAGAGACCATCTAAATTTAAATTTACTTTATCATGACTTTTGTGGGTTTCATCTTCCATCAAAAGTGGCCTATGCAAGTATACGCCAAAGTGCGGCAGGAAAATATTTTGGAATTTTATAAAATACATTTTACATTCCCAGCCATTCTTTCTGCATTACTTGTAGAAACATATTTTACAGTCTCAGTAATTCTAATGCCATTGCTTCAATGAAAGGAAATAATGCATCCTAGAACAAAGAAAGCTATTCAGTTTTTAATTTCTAAAACAGACCCTCTGTGCCTATTTTAAATCAATAGATGTGAAAGTTATCCACAGAATACAGAAAGATGTGGCATGAAGATTTTTTGTCTTGGCAGAGAGAATGGAGTAAGAAAAAAAGAAGAGTAAATTAAGACACAAATCTGTGGCCTGCTCCCTACTCACACACCCTCAGGGTCTAAGCCAAAAAAAGTAGGTTTTTGAGTGGAAAAGAGGGAGATAGAGATAGAGAGGTGGTTAGAAATTCCATGATAGATGTCTGAAGGATCTGAGAACCCTTAAGCTCAACAGAAACTTTCCAGAAGGGAACCAGTAGAGCAGAAGAAACTCTACAAAGCAGAAATGGCAATATGAAATGCTTAGGCTCATGACATGGAGGAGACCCAGAAGTTAATTCATGTCACAGACAGTGATATAGAACTGCTGGGAGGAATAGTGGGCTCCAAGTCCTATGGTTGGAGGGTTTTGCTATGTATAATTTTCCACTAAATACAGTTTTTGAATCATTCATTTGTCATATTATTTTTTTGTCCCAGAACTTATTTGACTCGGATTTTTCAAAAAAAATACCAGTTCTCTGGTGAAATTCCCCAACTTCTTATTTTCTTAAACACAGTAATCATAGTTATTTAAAATCCCTGTTTGAAACTCTAATATCTGAATCGACTTTGGGGCTATTTCTATTACCCATTTTCTTCTACTGGTTTTCAGACATATTTCTTGTTTTCTTAGATGCTTTGTGATCTTTTAATTTAATCTGTACTTCGTGGATAAATAATTTTAAGTGTCTGGATAACAGTATCTGTCTAACAAGTGTTAGTTTTTCTTTAATGAGGCAGAAAGTATCACTTGATTTATCAACGATTGGTTTTGAGCACTGTCAGGGCTAGTCTATTTTAGTTTCATCCTTTCTCCTAAAACATCATCCCTATTCCTAATGCATGGGTCCTCTGGCTCTTCAGCTGAAAGCCTTGTGTGTTACAAAGGCCCCTGCACTTTGGCAGAGCTTGAACTCCATAATCTGTTTCTTGTGCAACTGTAAAAACTTACGCTGAATTTCTTAGCTTCTCAGCTGACATTTTCGGCTGTGTTTCTTAGAGTCTTATCCTGGACATGAACAGCTTAGAAATCATCCAACACCCTTAAGGAAGTTTGTATGCAGATTTTTGAGTTCACTTCCCTTTTATTCTCTCCTCTCTAAATTTTACCCCTCAAGTTCCAGCTATGTTGGCAGCTCTGAAATCCAACTGCTATCTCCTCAACCCACTAAAACTACCATTTTCTACTTGTGCTCTATTCTCCCACAAGAGCAAAAGCCAGGGTAAAAGTAGAGCTAACTCATGAACTTCCCTTTATTCCGGGATTGTAGCCAGTCAAGTCATGTCTGTACTGGTTACTCTCCAATTCCTTTAATAGCTATTTTATATATTTTTGGCAGCTTTAAAAGTTGATTTTGGTAGGAAGGTTAGTCCAATACATGCTATTTAATTATGGACAGAATCAGAAGTCATCAGGTTATTTTAAAATCTGCATCCGATAATCCTAACACCTAATACACCTGCATGTTTTTACCACGTACTGTTTCTGCTATTTTTCATTCATTTGATCCTTCTCTTTGTGTGCTTGGTGATTGTGCGTTGTTTACCACACTCTATATTTGTGAGATTGTAGAAATAATGTGAGGTCTAGGATGTTGTAATCTTTCTTTAAAGATAATTTTTATTTTTTTCTACTAGGTAACTAAGGTCAAAGCACTTAGAACAGTGGTAAATAGTTTGACACATAGTAGCTAGTTAACTCATATTATTGCATGTCGGTCTACCTCACCCAGATTAAGCGTACGTCAACTTTTATATTCCCAACATCAGTACATCTAGTTCATAGTCAATACTTGAAAAATAGCTGGTGAGTAAATGGCTTAAGAAACTGAAACTAAGGTATGACATATCGATGAATCACACTCATGTACACAAACACACAAAATCCAAATACTTTTATAGGGACATAATCTTATATACAGTTTCTAAAAGAATAGTATAAACCTAGCATTTACCTTCAGGAGATCTTGGTGTGATTTGCTTTGGGACATTTTCTACATTTTCATTTTCTGTTCCAAGAGTTTCTAGAAGAATGAAAAAGATGGAACAACTTTTGGATACTTGTAAAAATTCATTTGAGGGTATTATGACTTCATTATAATTGTTCATCATTTAGGAAACTGGGATTATCCATGGAAATGTATCCATGAAGTCAACCATTAGCATTGGCATTCTACTTCTGGAGTTCATCTAGATTACCTTCTGAATGGTTTTTCATGCTCAGTGCTCTTTTTTATATTAGTTTTCTTAGGTCCTGTGAATTTCCTTGTCGGTTCCCATCACCACCATATGGATGGAGTACCTAGTTTGGACTTGGAAGGTCTGCAAGGTCAGGATTTCTGCTACTGCCCTCTGACCCAGGTATTAAATGTACAGGCAAAAGATGAGTCCATTTTCCCACCCTGAAAACCCAAGGGGGAAAGGCACCATTTTCTTGCATGCCTTCTCTTCCTTTGCTCTTCTTAACCCCATTATTATAGCCCATGTTCACATTGTATTTACCTAAAATAGACTGTCTTCGAGGTTTTCTTGGTAAAATTGGTGTCGGTATAAACGTGATACCTGGAAAGTGACTAATACTTAGCACCACTGTAGCACCTTGTTGTACACGTGCAGACTCCTGACTTTCTAGTATAATCGATTCGGTAGTAAGTAGAGGTCTTGTCACCATTGCACTTAAGTCATTCAAGGGCTGCTGATAGGGATGGTCTGGAGTCTTTGGTAGGGGCCGATACCCAAGGTGCACTGTTTTGAGTTTGGTAGTGGCAATCGGGCAAGTAGCATGTAAAGGTTTGGAGAACTCTGAAGAAAGAATTAAAATGTCTTCCAGATTTTTATCATTATAAATCTTTTTTATTTTGTGTTTCTCTTTTTTGGACTTTCTTGAACGTTCCTTTTGGCTTGTGACTTTCCCAAAAACTTGTGTAGAAGCTGAATGAAAACTTGGAAAAAATCTGGAGCTGGTAGCAGTCTCTGGAATGCACCAACAGACATTCTTAGTAGACTTCTTGGGTTTTGAAATAGTAGACACTCTTTCTTCTACATGATGATCAAAAAAGAGAGTTTGGGTTCTGACAACTGTTTGTGCTTGTTTTCTTGAAATATCAAGAAAACTAGCTTTGTCTTTTTCAACTGAAGTGGTTTCATCTTGAGTGAACTCTGTATGGGGTGACTCAGTTTCACCAGTCTTGGCTAAACCAGAAAAACAAAAACAGAAAAATTATATTTATCAAGATGTCAGATTCAAATGGCCAACAGAATCATGAAAAAATCTTCAACATCACTAAGCATCAGGGAAATGCAAATCAAAACCACACCGAGATATCACCTCATGCCAGCTAGACTGGCTACTGTCAAAAGGACAGAGAATAACAAATACTGGCGAGGATGAGGAGAAAGGGGAACACTTCTACACTGGTGGCGGGACTGTAAATTAGTGTAGCCATTACGGAAAACAGTATGGAGGTTTCTCAAACAGTTACAGGGAGAACTGCCATATGATCCATCAATCCCATTACTGAGTATATACCTGAAGGAATGTAAATCATCATGTTGAAGGGACACCTGGACTCCCATGTTTATCATAGCTCTATTTACAATAGCCAAGATATGGAGCCAACCTAAATGTCCATCGACGGATGACTGGATAAGGAAAATGTGGTATATATACAACATGGAATATTACTCAGCCATTAAAAAAAAAAAAAGAAATTCTGCCATTCACAGCAACATGGATGAACTTGGAGAAAATTATGTTAAGTGAAATAAGCCAGGCACAGAAAGAGAAATACTGCATGTCCTCACACATAAGTAGGAACTTAAAAAAAAAAAAAAAACAGAGATAGAGAAAGGAAAGAAGGAAGGAACAAATGAAAGAAGGAAGGAAGGAAGGAAGGAAGGAAGAAACAACAACCACAATAATAGGTTGAACTTTCAAAAGGAGAGAACATAACACTGGTTATTAGAGGTGGGAAAGGGAAAGGGGTGGGGGGTGGTGAGAAATTGATTAAGGAGCACAAAGAACAATTATGTTTTGTAAAGATGAGTATACAAATTATTCTAATTTGATTATCATGTATTGCATACAGGTATTGATATTCAATTCTGAATCCCACAAATATGTATAATCAATTATGTTTCAATAATAGATAAATAAATGATGTTGGAGACAAAACTATTAATGTCTTAGTATTCATAAGTTTTTTTACCCACTCCTCTGTCATCTTCTAAAAATGTTAGTACATATAATTGCTCAGTTACAGAACTTTTGTTGAGTTTACTCTAATAAAGTTTTATATTTCTTTTTGATGCCAGATGTCAGACCCATGTGTCTTTTGAATATGATAACATTTTGATAGGGCTACAAGGTGCCACAAGTTTATAACAATAAGTGTTCTTTCCTCTTTTAGGTCCAGAAATTGCACTGACCTTGTGTTCTCAGACACCTCACTACATCAAATACGCCTTTTCTTTCCTATGCAACAGAACGTTAAATCACATTTTTCTGTTGTCTCAGATGCGTACAATAAATGGTAAGGACCTTTGTATTCTGATGAGGAAACAACAGATTAAGGCAAAATTTGCAAAGAGAGGGCCGAAACAAGTCCTTCAACCCTTAACCCCTCACCCACCTATGTATAAGAAATGGCTAGAGGGGTCTTATTCATAAAGTCTTTGCCCAGTCCTGGAGTGTCACTACTTCCTGGAGTGTTCCCCTGTGTTTTCCTTTAGTAATTTTATGGTTTGGGGTCTTATATTTAAGTCTTTAATCCATTTTGAGTTGATTTTGGTATATGGTGAGAGGTGCAGGTCCAGTTTCATTCTTCTGCATATGGATGTCCAACTCTCCCAGCACTATTTATTGAAGAGGCAGTCTTCTCCCCAATGTATGCTCTTGCTGCCTTTATCAAAGGTCAGTTGGCTGTAAATATGTGGGTTGATTCCCACATTTTCTATTCTGTTCCATGGCTCCCAGCACCTGTTTTTATGCCAGTACTATGCTGTTTTGGTTACAATAGCTTTGTAATACAATTTGAGTTGGGTAGAGTTATGCCTCCAGCTTTATTGTTTTGCTCAGGATTGCTTTGGCTATTTGGGATCTTTTGTTGTTTCATATGAGTGTTTGGATTGCTTTTTCTATTTCAGTGAAGAATATCATTGATATTTTGATGGGGATTGCACTGAATCTGTAGATCACTTTGGGTAGTATGGATATTTTCACAATGTTAATTCTTCCAATCCAAGAATGTGCTATGTCTTTCACCATTTTGTGTCTTCTTTAATTTCTTTCGGTAGTGTGTTGTAGTTCTCATTGTAGAGCTCTTTCACCTCCTTGGTTAAATTGATTAGTAAGTATTTTATTTTTTTGGTGACTACTCTAAATGGGCTTGCTTTCTTGATTTCTTGGGTTTTTAAATTTTTTAATTATCTATTGATATTATTTTTTACATTCTAAGATGTTGCAGAGCAGTTGGGGGGGTGGGGAGAGGGGAAAGGGTAAGGAAATAGGGTGGAGAAGGAGAAAGGGGGAGCATGGTTGAAGCCCATGGCATTCCCCTCATTCCTGCATGAGAGACCAGGTGGATTCCAGTGGCAGCTTGGTCATTGCTGGGCTGGATGCAGATGTCAGGGGGTTGTGGCTGAAGCCCTCAGCTCCCCACCACTCCAACTTGGGAGCCTGGGGCACTTCCTGTGGCAGCTCAGTGGTCATTGCTGAGCTAGTTGTAGATGTCAGGTTGGTGAGGCTGAGGCCCTCGGACCCCCACCTCTCCAGCTCAGGAGCCTGGGGCATTTCCTGCAGTGGCTTGGTGGTCATTGCTGGGCTGGGTGTGGTCAGCAAGAGGGGCATGGCTGAGGCCCAAGGCCTTCTCCACTCCGTGGCTTGGGAGCCCAGGGGCTTTCCAGTCCTTCTAGGTTATGTTCTTTGATGGTATTAGACCTTTACTAGTTAATATCAAACTTTGTCTCCGATCTGTGTGTATTTTGTTTTTTCTTTCAGTTCTGTGTTGGATTATTCACTGTTCCCACCACTTAAACTCTGCACTGGAACTAATTTGTTTTCCTTTGCTTACTTCTAAAATGGTGGAACTTCCTGTGGGGACCAGCATTTGAGCCCTGAAGCTGAGATAAGCTAAATTGCTTCATTGCTGCTGATTCCCTGGGGAAGACTTTTTGTGCAGCTCAGCTATTAAAGGTTGACCTTGTATGTACTTCTGGGTCTCGTGAGGTCTGGTACACCTGGTTTGTGTGGAATCTCTGGTCTGGGCCTGAGTCTTTTCAGCAAACTGCACCCCTTGCAGTTCTACATTCCTGACCAGTCAAGAACAATATCAGTATGATATTGTTGATCTGTTTGTCGTATATGGCTTTTATTGTGTTGAGATAATTTCCTTCTATACCTAATGAATAAGACTACAAAAGCACAGGCAACAAAAGAAAAAATAAACAAATGGGATTATATCAAACTAAAAAGCTTCTGCACAGCAAAGGAAACAATCAACAGAGTGGAAAGACAACCTACAGAGTGTGAGAAAATATGTGCAAACTATACATCCCACAAGGGATTATTATCCAGAATATATAAGGAATTCAAACAACTATACAATAAAAAAACAAATAATCCAATTTAAAAATGGGCAAAGGAGATGAGTAGACATTTTTCAAAGGAAGACATACAAATGGCCAACAGTACATGAAAAAATGCTCAGCATCACTGATTATCAGGGAAATACAAATCAAAATCACATTGAGATATCATCTCATCCCAGTTAGACTGGCCATTATTAAAAAGACAGAAAATAACAAATGCTGGTGAGAATGCAGAGAAAGGGAAACCCTTCTACAAAGTTGGTGAGACCGTAAATTAGCATAGCCATTATGGAAAACAGTATGGAGGTTTCTGAAATAATTACAGGTAGAAGTACCATATGACCCAGCAATCCCACTCCTGGGTATATATCCAAAGGAATGTAAATTATCATGTCAAAGGGATACCCGCATTTCTATGTTTTTTTTTTCGCATTTCTATGTTCATTGCAACTCTATTTACAATAGCTGAGATATGAAACAAACCTAAGTGTTCATCAACAAATGACCAGATAAGAAAAATGAGGTATATATACACAGCAGAATATTATTCAGCCATAAAAAGAATGAAATTTTGCCATCTGCAGCAACATGGATGAGCCTGGAGAAAATTGTTATGTGAAATAAGGCAGACACAGAAAGTGAAATAATGCATGTGCTCACTCATAACTGGGTGCTATGAAAGAAGGAAGGAAGAAAGGAGAAAAGAAAAGAAAAGAAAAGAAAGAAAAGACCACAGTAGTGTGTTGAACTTTCAGAAGGAAAGAACAAACTGAAAGATACTAGTGATGGGGGGGATTGAGGGATGGGCGCTGGGTAGTGATAGATTGGGTGGAGGGCATGGGGAAGGATTATGATTTGTAATGATCAATATGCTAATAAAAAAATGTTTTTTTAAGTTGAATAGGTGGGAGCCAGATAATGAAATCGAAAAAAACCAAAACAAAACTGAGCTCCTTATAAGGGTCTAAAATGCTAAAAAAAGAAGTGGCTAGAGATTGATCTGGGTTTAGATAGATTTCTTCAGAATAAATGAATTTAGAGTGCTATGCATTTCTCTGATCTTCCCCATCTCATGGTGGATGG